GAGAGAAACTTTACCCAAAATACTGGAAGACAAAGACCAAGGTAGGCGTGGTCAGACACACTTCAGGTTAGAGAAACTTTACCCAAAATACTGGAAGACAGAGACCAGGGTGGGTGTGGTCAGACACACTTCAGGTTAGAGAAACTTTACCCAAAATACTGGAAGACAAAGACCAAGGTGGGCGTGGTCAGACACACTTCAGGTGAGAGAAACTTTACCCAAAATACTGGAAGACAAAGACCAGGGTGGGTGTGGTCAGACACTTCAGGTTAGAGAAAATTTACCCAAAATACTGGAAGACAAAGACCAGGGTGGGTGTGGTCAGACACACTTCAGGTGAGAGAAACTTTACCCAAAATACTGGAAGACAAAGACCAGGGTGGGCTTGGTCAGACACACTTCAGGTGAGAGAAACTTTACCCAAAATACTGGAAGACAGAGACCAGGGTGGGCGTGGTCAGACACACTTCAGGTGAGAGAAACTTTACCCAAAATACTGGAAGACAAAGACCAGGGAGGGCGTGGTCAGACACACTTCAGGTGAGAGAAACTTTACCCAAAATACTGTAAGACAAAGACCAGGGTGGGCGTGGTCAGACACACTTCAGGTGAGAGAAACTTTACCCAAAATACTGGAAGACAAAGACCAGGGTGGGTGTGGTGAGAGACACCTCTTATCCAAACACTCTTAGACAGAAACAAGAGTGTTTTTTGTTTGAGACACAGTCTTAAGGAGAAAATGTGCTATGTAATATTCTGTATCTGAAGTCTTATGTTCAGTTTCATAAAACAACATTTAAGGTATCACAGTAATTATATATACATATGCATCAATATTTTTTCTTCTGAAAGTTCTGGGACTGCTACAACTTTTATCCCCAATACTGGCAGGTGGTGAGCAGGGTGGGTGTGGCAAGTGACAGATATACCGCGGAACATGTAGCTCCAGTCCTATACCCCTAATTCCACTCTGTACACTACCTCCAACTTCTGGGACACAAGCAAGTGTGGTCAGAGACAGGCTTTTGCCTCAAATATCCAAACACTCCAGGTTTGGCGTGGTCAGACACACTTCAGGTGAGAGAAACTTTACCCAAAATACTGGAAGACAGAGACCAAGGGGGGGGGGGGGGGGGTGAGAGACATGCTTTTACCATAAAAAAACCAATACTGGGAGAGGTGGGTGTGGTCAGAGACATGCTTCTGCCCCTAGTGCCCCAAAGACATGGAGAGAAACGCCATGGGGTGTCGGAAAAATAACATGGAACATCATTATGTGTACCTGAAGTCTTATGTTCAGTTGGATCAAACTTATTTTGTTCTCGCAGTTACTACATGCATCAATATTCTATAAAGTTCTCAGCTGCAGACAGTTGGTGGTGAACCTCTGCATCAGACTGGAGCACTTGCTGTTTAGCTTCATCTGTACACTCACCAGTGTGGTTGTGGTGAGAAACACCTCTTATCCAAATACTCGGAGACACGAACCAGAGTAGGCGTGGTGAGAGACACCAACCAGGGTGGGTGTATAGAGACACCCTACACGTGAGAGACACGCTCTTACCACGAATACCCAAATACTCGGAGACACTAACCAGGGTGGGCGTGGTGAGAGACACCAACCAGGGTGGGTGTATAGAGACACTCTTCAAGTTAGAGACACGCTCTTACCGCGAATACCCCAATACTGGGAGACAAGGACAAGGGTGGGCATGGTGATACACCCGTCAGGTGAGAGAAACTGTACCCCTAATACCCCAATATTAGGAGATGGAATCTAGGGTGGGCGTGGTGAGAAACACCAACTAGGGTGGGTGTATAGAGACACCAACCAGGTGAGAGACACGCTCTTACCGCGAATACCCCAATACTGGGAGACAAAGACCAGAGTGGGCGCGGTGAGAAACACTTCTTATCCAAATACTCAGACAAAGACCAGTGTGGTTGTGGTCAGACACACTTCAGGGGAGAGAAACTTTACCCCAAATACTGGAAGACAGAGACCAAGGTGGGCGTGGTGAGTGACATGCTTTTACCTTAAATATCCCCATACTGGGAGACTCACTCCAAGGTGGGCGTGGTGAGTGACATGCTTTTACCTTAAATATCCCAATACTGGGAGACTCACTCCAAGGTGGGCGTGGTGAGTGACATGCTTTTACCTTAAATATCCCCATACTGGGAGACTCACTCCAAGGTGGGCGTGGTGAGTGACATGCTTTTACCTTAAATATCCCCATACTGGGAGACTCACTCCAAGGTGGGCGTGGTGAGTGACATGCTTTTACCTTAAATATCCCAATACTGGGAGACTCACTCCAAGGTGGGCGTGGTGAGTGACATGCTTTTACCTTAAATATCCCAATACTGGGAGACTCACTCCAAGGTGGGCGTGGTGAGTGACATGCTTTTACCTTAAATATCCCAATACTGGGAGACTCACTCCAAGGTGGGCGTGGTGAGTGACATGCTTTTACCTTAAATATCCCAATACTGGGAGACTCACTCCAAGGTGGGCGTGGTGAGTGACATGCTTTTACCTTAAATATCCCAATACTGGGAGACTCACTCCAAGGTGGGCGAGGTCAGAGAACTTCAGGTGAGAGAAACTTTACCCCAAATACTGGTAAGAGACCAACCAGTAAGACCGACCAACCAACCAATCTCCTGATGCACCCAAAATCCAGCTTCCAGGAGAAGAAAAACAACAAGTCACCACAGCCAAGAACCGATCCTTTGATGCTGTGTGGGAGACGTAAAGAACACCAGTGAAGTAAAACTCACAGGTATTCCACTGAACTCTTTTCTCTCAACATTTTACAATGTACTTTGTGTGACTGTTCTGTGTTTCCAGTTTGTTCTTATTTTCCACTGGGTAAGCGTGTGTATGATTTAGTTATAAATATTAAGATCACAAGAAAAGTGTTGTCGACCCACTGATGAACTCATGTGTTTGAAAATACAGCTATCCCAAACAATTCACCCCCGGATACCAGCAAAACAAGCAATACAACTGAAATGGTAACTAGTAAAATCTAGATATTCATCATATTTGTATACTTATTCTGCATTACTCCTTAACGCTATCATCTCTTGGTAACTCTGTTGCACACACTATTGTCGCTTATTGTTTGTTTACCCAGACAAACTCATACTCTCATTACCTTTCTGTGGACAGGACTGGTTGATCAGCTCCCGATCTGCTGACACCACCTTGAGTCCGAGGAGTTTTTATTGAGTACACATCTGAAGGTATTTCCGCCTCCATACCATCAGACACAGATGCATTAGGGAGTAATGCAGGACAAGTTAAAAAATCTAGTAAAATCTAGAAATTTATTATATTTGTTTACTCATGTTACTACGTCTAAGGGCCCACCCGTCACAGACCTGCCAACCCACGATAACGTCAGACATTTTACATGTGACAACATCTTTCGTCTACAAAAACATGGCACCTGCTTCAGAATGGAACAGCTTTTCTTTCTTCAGCAGGATCAATCACAGCTTCACTACAGTCAAAAGGTAAGCAGTTTGTTTTTATTTTCCACTGGGTAGGTGTGTGTATAATTTAGTTAAATATATTAATTCACAATTGGACCCGGGATACCAGCAAAACAAGAAATACATTTGAAATGGTAAATCCTCCTGTCCAGTCATGTTTTATCGCTCCTTTTACATTTTCATCGATAGTTTGTCATTGTTTGTTTGTTCACCCAAGTGATGCGATGTTTTTAACTAACAGAAAAATATTTAAGTGAAAGTGTAACCACTACATACGCTGACCCCTTTCTAAAAAATCTTTTGTCAGGCTTACCTACGATCGTACACGGTACCCTCCTACCCTCCTACCCTCATCAGTATTGCTGGCGGCCATTATGATAGAGATCGATCAACTGTTCTATTTCCACATATTTAATTGTTGAATAATGATTGTAACTATTACATTGTTCTTGTTAAGATTTGGTAGAAGCTCATATTATTGTATTTAGACAGTGATTATTTGTCAGGAATGTAGTACTACTTAATGTAAACAGTTTTGAGGAAGTTACTACATTTAGCATGTTTAGATGCTAGTGTGATGTGTAAAGTTCTGGAGTACCTTAGACAGACAGCGTTATAGAAACATGTCGAATATTGTGCCAGAAGACTTAATATAAGGGGACAAGAGCGTGCCTCTCATATCTCTCACACAATCCATTACATCAAGACCAGCTTTCATGTGAAGATCACTCATCAACCTTGATTCCCTGTCAAGGACCATCTTGGAAGCTTGACCACTGTTGCTGCTGGGTGAATATATTGTTATCACTGACTTTCGCTATCACCATTGTTATTGTTATCGTATTTGATTCTGACCGCTGCCATCATGTTACATACTGACATTGAATATGGTACTACCAGTCCATTGTGTACTGCCATAGTAATTGCTGTGCAGTACTTTGTATTGATTTGTAAACTTAGTGAATTTTGTAATACATTGGATGAATATATACCATTTGTTGATTGGTTGTTGGTTTCACACTAAATTCTTTTACGTACAGGTTTAGGGTTAACATGTTGTTTTACTTTGGGAATGGAAATGTAACAGAACGCATGCATTTGAAAGGCATGCTTCTTGTTACACTTGCTCCAACAAACAAGACACCTCCCGCTCGCTCCTCTCGCTCCACGGTGTCATCATAGGACTGTCACTATCTCTAGAGATGTGAATATGTTTTAAGAAAATATAACAAATAACGTGTCCCCAAACGGCTGTCGGATGGGGGGGGAGAGTATGGGAAGGTACACCTAACATCAATGCATGTCTTATTTAATTACTTGGAATAAAAAGTCAACTTACTTAAGCATTAACACAAAACAAAAGACGTAAACGATACGAAATCAGTGACATCATTCAGCGCAATAATGCAACACAAGCCCTGTCCACACTTTCATCAGCCAATCAGGAAACTAGTTCAGTTGTGGGTGTGGCCTAATTTTGGGGTAATAATGGAAACATAGATTTTAAAAAACCTGCTTTGATAGCCAATCAAATGACTTGGAATCATGTGCAATTTATTTATTCTTAATTTATCACCTATGATTTATGCAAATTGTTGCCAATATAAACTGTTGTTTGACGCCACACTCAAATTAATCTAATTAAATACTTTTGAATACAAACATAATCAGTGATAATTAATGTATTCAAAACAAATATTTATGTAAATTAAAATGTACCATACATAGATGGATATGGTTAACATGGTTAAAACATAACTGCCTTGGATAAAACTTTGTGACAATGAAATCAATTAGAGCCAGCCCCAATATTGCACTAACTATGGTATTTCTTATAAACACACAACCTTAAATACAACGTATGCCATTAATCTCAAAACAATTATATATATCCAGGGAAATGAATGACTGTTGAAGACTAGACACAGACAGGCACAGTGCCATGATGACATGACATGACATGACATGACATCCTTGCACCAGGCATGAGACTCACTGACCTGACCTCTATCCATGGATCTTGGAAAGAAGGGGAGACAACCTAAAAGGTAGGAATGTGGGTCTAAAACGGAAGCTGCTTCTCCTGTTCTGTACTCAACAGACCGAAAACCGAAGTCAATCAGGATCAGCATCTTTCCCGGACTGGCAAATGTGACCATCTCTTAGCCGAGTTCCGAGTTGGTGAGGAGTTCCAGATATCTACGGCCATTCCATGACCGTTAAGACTTACCCAGAACACCATCCGCAACCACAACTTCAGCAACCACAACTTCAGCATCCACAACAGCATCCACAGAAGCAGTGTTGGTGTTCTCATCTGATTCCTTGTCATGTCCATTGTTGCATGTTTGAACATCAAATGTTACAGGATTGTCTGTGACAACAACATTGTTTTGGTTCATTTCACAGATTTCAGCACCTAATTTACTTTTCTTGGCAAGGGCGAAACTCTGAGATCCATCTAAGTCTGCAGTTTCAGCATCTCGCTTTGCCGCGTGATTCAAGGTCAACTTCCACGCAATGACTGCTCCCTCACGGTCATGACACGGCGTGTCACTACCTAGATCAAACAGCAGTTTCTCATCGGAACTATCTGCCTTTGGCGATACTTTCAATATAGACCCTTTGGAGGACTTTAGCAGATCACATTCAGTTTCTGATTCACTGCAAAACAGAGACACATCATGTTCAGAAGCAAATCTCTTTAACTTTGGTCCTTTCACAAATGCATGGCTTAGCTCGGAAAGAATTTCTGCTTCTGAAGAAACAACTCTTGAATTCCGATGTAAGGCCAAATCCTCAAGAAATTCCTGATCACCAGTTTCTTCCACCAGAGGTCTAGTGTACGTATGTGAAGCCACTGCCTGTGATGATGTCTCCTTGACGTCACTGTCGTACCCAGACAGGGCGACCTTGTCCTCGTCGTCAGGATCCAGGAGTTCCAGCCCCACACCTGGACTCCCGACCTCCAGGCGGCCATCGAACCCGCAAAGAGAAGCAGCCATATTTTTTCTCCTCCGCGGCTTCCTCCGTGGTTTCCTGTGTTTCTTCAGCTTTTTCTAGGAAAACAAAATATTCAAGAATACATGAGTTGAAAAATGACCTAAATGATGATGGATGAGTTTGGTTTTACGCCGCTTTTAGCAATATTCCAGCAATATCACGGCGGGGGACACCAGAAATGGGCTTCACAGCGAGATGGATGAGAGAGTTAGTGAGTATGGTTTTATGCCGCTTTTAGCAATATTCCAGCAATATCACGGCGGGGGACACCAGAAATGGGCTTCACACATTGTACCCACGTCGGGAATCAAACCCGGGTCTTTGGCGTGATGAGCGAACCACTAGGCTACTCGACCGCCCTGTCCAAAATGAAAAGAGACGTGGTGATGTGATGTGGTGATGTGATGTTGTGATGTGACATGGTGTTGTGATTTGATGATGCGATGTGGTGATGTGACGTGGTATTGTGATGATGTGATGTGACTTGGTGTTGTGGTGAGTGGCGTGGCGTGGCGTGACGTGACGTGACGTGATGTCATGTGGTGATGTCATGTGGTGATGTGATGTTCTATGGTGTTGTGATGTGATGTGATGTGATGTGATGTGGTGTTGTGATGTGTTGAGATGTGGTGTTGTGATGTGGTGTTGTGATGTGGTGTTGTGATGTGATGTCATGTGGTGTTGTGATGTGATGTCATGTGTTGAGATGTGGTGTTGTGATGGTGTTGTGATGGTGTTGTGATGGTGTTGTGTTGTGTTGTGTGGTGTTGTGTTGTGTGGTGTTGTGTCCCTGTGGTGTCTGCAGAGCGTTGTCACCAAGTCGTCCACATACCTTAGGCAAAGGTCTGTTTGGGTAAGGTTAGAGTGCAGTGAGTCTGAGGTGAAGCTGTGTTGCGTTGTGTTGCGGTGCGGTGCGGTGTGGTGCGGTGTGGTGTTCTGTTGAGTGGTGTCTGCAGTGCAGTTCACTGTCACCAAGTCGTACACATACCTTTGGCAGAGGTCTGTTTGGATCATGGAGACTCATGTGATGCAGCATCTTGTTCTGCAAGACAAGGGAGACGATATCATATTCCCTATACCAGTTAATTCCCTTCTACAAATGTGTGACTGTTCTACAAGCACATATTGTTTTCTCCACTCTGAAACAGTTGCTCTAAAGCCTTGTTGCCCTCCCAGCCACAATACTCCAGTGGCCTGAAAACAACTTGGTCTGGGCAAGTGATTAATAATCAGTGGACCATAATATCCACACAGTGAGGGTATAAGGACACAAAATCAGCCAGGTCACAAATCGTGTTTCCCCAATCCTCATCATAACCCACAAAAGGATGCTGACGGCTAATTCTGATGCCAAAGGAAAGCTGATGACGTATTCTGATGCCAAAGGGATTCTGATGACGTATTCTGATGCCAACGGGATTCTGATGACGTATTCTGATGGCACATGGGGACTCCCTATTTTCAACTATGACATGTTTACTTACCCTGTAGGAGAAGGTCCTGCCACAGTCCTTGTGTTCACACGGAATGCGTTTCCCATCATGGTAGGATCGGACGTGAGCTTGCAGGTTCTTCTTGCTGAGATAACTGCGGCCACAGTTGTCCCTGCTGCACTCAAACACGGGTCTCTCTGCCAAGTGGACTGGCATGTGCTTCTTCAGATTGAACTTATTCAGGAACTTCTTGCCACACTCCAGGCATTCCAGAGCTGCTGACAACAACACAAACAGTTAGTTTACCAACGCGAGGACAGAGTTATCAATATCCCCCGCAATGGCAAATACTTGGCGTGAATAAATAAATGAAACTTGTTGCCATGTAACAAAAAACAATTACTTAAAAAAACAAAAACATCAAAAGGCACCAGTTCACAACTAGACCTATCGATATGCCATGTTTGGTGAAGAAATATGTTAACGTCTTACGATCTGCTCCGGAAACTAGCCCACCGCCATTTCAAAGATGCAGGTGTGTGGAGATGCAGGCAGGTGTGTGAAGATGAAGGCAGGTGTGTGAAGATGCAGGCAGGTGTGTGAAGATGCAGGCAGGTGTGTGAAGATGCAGGCAGGTGTGTGAAGATGCAGGCAGGTGCGTGAAGATGAAGGCAGGTGCGTGAAGATGCAGGCAGGTGTGTGAAGATGCAGGCAGGTGTGTGGAGATCCAGGCAGGTGTGTGAAGATGGAGACAGGTGTGTGAAGATGCAGGCAGGTGTGTGAAGATGCAGGCAGGTGTGTGGAGATGCAGGCAGGTGTGTGAAGATGAAGGCAGGTGTGTGAAGATGCAGGCAGGTGTGTGAAGATGCAGGCAGGTGAGTGAAGATGGAGACAGGTTAGTGGAGATGCAGGCAGGTGAGTGAAGATGAAGGCAGGTGTGTGAAGATGCAGGCAGGTGTGTGAAGATGCAGGCAGGTGAGTGAAGATGCAGGCAGGTGTGTGGAGATGCAGGCAGGTGAGTGAAGATGAAGGCAGGTGTGTGAAGATCCAGGCAGGTGAGTGAAGATCCAGGCAGGTGAGTGAAGATGCAGGCAGGTGTGTGGAGATGCAGGCAGGTGAGTGAAGATGCAGGCAGGTGTGTGGAGATGCAGGCAGGTGTGTGGAGATGAAGGCAGGTGTGTGAAGATGAAGGCAGGTGTGTGAAGATGGAGGCAGGTGTGTGGAGATGCAGGCAGGTGAGTGAAGATGGAGGCAGGTGTGTGGAGATGCAGGCAGGTGTGTGGAGATGGAGGCAGGTGTGTGGAGATGAAGGCAGGTGAGTGAGATGCAGGCAGGTGTGTGGAGATGAAGGCAGGTGTGTGGAGATGAAGGCAGGTGAGTGAGATGCAGGCAGGTGTGTGGAGATGGAGGCAGGTGTGTGGAGATGGAGGCAGGTGAGTGAGATGCAGGCAGGTGTGTGGAGATGAAGGCAGGTGTGTGGAGATGAAGGCAGGTGTGTGAAGATGGAGGCAGGTGTGTGGAGATGCAGGCAGGTGTGTGGAGATGAAGGCAGGTGAGTGAGATGCAGGCAGGTGTGTGGAGATGGAGGTGGGTGTGTGAAGATGGAGGTGGGTGTGTGAAGATGGAGGCAGGTGTGTGAAGATGGAGGCAGGTGTGTGGAGATGCAGGCAGGTGTGTGGAGATGCAGACAGGTGTGTGAAGATGAAGGCAGGTGTGTGAAGATGAAGGCAGGTGTGTGAAGATGCAGGCAGGTGTGTGAAGATGCAGGCAGGTGTATTATACAAGAGAAACACTCACCACTATGCTGCAGTGCCACATGTTTCCGCACCAGTGACCACGTCCCAAACTTCTCCTGGCATCCTTGCACCTGACACAGATACCCTGGAATATACAACAAACACCATGAGTTTAACAAATACGCCAGTCAGCATCATCACAAGGGAAGGCAGTTCTACGTGTACGCTGGTAATATCCAGGGCCCTAACATGGCAACAGTCACACTTTCCACATAGAAAGAATGAAAAAGTGAGTAAGCACACGTTGTGTCGACAAATATTTTTGTTGTTTTATTATTACATCAACTTTAGGTGAGAAATTCCCCTGATTTGATACCACCACACCAGTCAGCATCACTCGTATCACTCAGCATGTGGCATTATTCATCTCAAATCGATGATATGAGAAACAAGAGTGAGTGAGTAAATACGGTTTAACGCCACTTTTAGCCATATTCCAGCATATATCATGGCACTGGACACCAGAAATGGGCTTCACACTGTACCCATGTGAGGTGAGGTGAAATGGGGTTTAACGTCGCCTCCAAGATTATTGCACTTATAGAGCGACGTGCAGGCATGTGTGTGTGTGTGTGGCTGCTTGTACTAGTCTGGACTGATGTCTATTTTATAGTTCTAGCCCACTGAGATATCATGCCGCAGTTTAACATGAATACCCCACTCAGACACAGTTTACCAACTCCGAGCCGACCAGTCCTTGTTTAAGGACCCTTAATGTCGAGCGCCAGAGAGGGTAGCAACAAGTACCATCTTTTGACGTCTTTTGGTATGATGCGGTTAACTTGGTTAACCCACCGCCCCACTAGAAACAGATGTACATACCTTCATGCATCTTTTGATGCCTCTTCAGATTGGCTTCGCTGCAAAAAACCTTCCCACAATCCTCCTTGGGACACCTGTCAACATGAGCGAGTGAGTGAGTTTGGTTTTACGCCGCTTTTAGCAATATTCCAGCAATATCACGGCGGGGGACACCAGAAATGGGCTTCACACATTGTACCCATGTCGGGAATCGAACCCAGGTCTTCGGCGTCACGAGCGAACGCTTTAACCACTAGGCTATCCGACCGCCCCCCTGTCAACATGAAGAATATACAAGTGTCATCAGATCAGAAGAAGTGAAGTGAAATGGGGTTTAACCCATCCTTACATTCATCAGTAACATGGATACCAGCATCAGCATCACTCGTATCTCACATTATTCACACTCAAACAAGAGAGTGAGTGAGTGAGTGAGTGAAGGTGGGTGGGTGGGAATGATTTGGGTGAGTGAGTGATTGAAGGTGGGTGAGTGAGTGAGTGAGTGAGTGAGTGAGTGAGTGTTGTCTTACTGCCGCAGTCAGCAGCACTGTTCTACCTACAGATAATGAAACCAGTGACTGAAAGCATGAGCAATGATCCATGGCGGCATGAAATCAGCCAAGTCAACCTGACAATTCCATCTAACTAAATTGCCACAGACAAAGAGCAATGAGGGACTGTTCAAATGCAGGTGACAATGAGGTTTGAAGTTGACAGGCACAACTCCCTCACACTGAAGCTCCTGATCACCTAAATGTGTCCAGGAAAGTAGTATTTGCTTAAATCTGAACAGAAATTGACCCTGTGATGACCCCAGTGATGCCTGAAGTTAAATCTGCCCACCTGTATGGGTTGTCAAGCAGGTGCTCCAGGTGGTGGCGGCGCAGGTGCTTGTAAGATTTACAGTGCTTCCCACATCCCTCCTCTCGGCACTGAAACACACAATAATCATCATCATCATCATCATCATCATCATCATCGTCATCGTCACCACCACCACCTCCACCATCTTCGTTGTTGTTGTTATTATTGTTTACAGATTAAAATAAACATGCAGTAAAGATGCATCCCTCGATAATATTGCATTGGAGTAAACCCCATCAAAAACAGGTTTTCCATTTCATCCCATAACAAGAGTCATCACCAGATGACATCCAGTCTGGGGCAATTCAGAAATGGAGATTGGCTACTTATACCCACTATTGGCTCTTTGCCATTGGATTCCTTCAGTTAAGTGAAGAAAACAATAATGCTGTTCAGTGTTTGTCAAAATCCCATATCATCAAAAGGGCACCAGTTCACAACTAGACTGATCTGTATAGCAAGTTTCATCTAGAAATATTACACGGTTTGGGAGTTCTGCTCCGGAAATGAGAACTTGCCTCATCTTCAGTTTAAGTCCAATTTGTCTTCATGAAAAATAAATCCAACCTCATCAAAAGGCACCAGTTCTCCACAAGACTGATCTATATAGAAAGTTTCAACAAGAAACATTTAACCGTTTTGATGTTCTGGAAACAGAAACTGGACAGCTGACAGACGGACGGATGGACAGACATGATGATCACTACATCCCCGTTTTACATGACAAAAAACAACGGGTAGGTTGTGTTCTTGGTTGTTTTACTTTTTTTCTTCTTTGAAACTTTGTAATTTCAGTATCTTCATAGAAGCACAGTCTGGGGGCATAAAAGCTTTGGTGCAACTCGAGACACATGACAAAAAGGCTGATGGCTGGGAGCGGTAGGTAGAAACTAACAGTTAGTGTCCACAAGTCCTCATAATGATAATATATAGCAAAACCCTTAAAAAAATAAAAAGGGCTAATTTCTACTAGTCCTTACGATACTCAACTGTTGGGCAGTTTGGCAAGGACAGTCTGAATTTCTGACACTGGTTGGGGCTCCAGATTTGAGTCGGGTGGGAAACTGGAGTTTGACTCAGCTGCAGTAGCATTTTATCTGTTTGTTGTTTAACGCAATATTCCAGCTATATGACGGCGGTCTGTAAATAGTCAAGTCTGGACCAGACAATCCAGTGATTGACATCATGAGCATCGATCCACGAAATTGGGATACAGTGACATACATGAACCAAGTCAGCGAGCCTGGCGATTAGGAGGGTTGTCTCAGTGTTAATATTACTGATCAATGATCATGGGACCCCAGTGAAGGTCAATGATCATGTGGAAGAAAACCATGTAAATTCATTATCATGTATTGTAACATTCTAAATTAATAATAATAATAATAATAATAATAATAATTCAATAGAGTAATCAAAATAATCTGACCATGCAAAAGCAACAGAAATTAATGATAACAATACATATAATATCGTGACACAAGTACTGCACTATCTATCAGTATATGATTCGGTACGGTACATACCACATATCTGCTTGGCTCTTCGTGTTTCCTCTTCACATGCTTGGCTAGATTCCATTGGTTGGAGAACTTGCTGTCACAATCCTTAAATGGACACCTGCAATATTGTCATGTTCAATGAAGCTGTAACTCGCCTTGGTTTATATTCCAAAAATACATTTGCAAATCTGACAGGCTACACTCGGAACACCTGTCTGACCCACCCAAGGTCAGCTACTTGCTGAAATAAATTACTTGCTACTCGTTTAATGAGCCCTGGCGTTATTGTCAATCAGATATCACAAAATGAGTCTACAGCTAGCTTTTCCTCTTGAACTTGCACAGAAATATTTATTGTCAAGAAGTTACCATGCGATTTGACGTAAATATGCATATCACGACCCATGTATCATGATACATATCGTGACCTATGTATCTGGTACGTATCGTAACCTTGCTGTATCGTTTCACCCCTAGGGTTTATCAGATGCATCCTATAAGCATGATAATTAAGAATGGATGCTACAAACATCAGTGTTCCCATTTACAGTGAGTGAGTGAGTGAGTGAGTATAGTTTTATGCCGCTTTTAGCAGTATTCCAGCAATGTCACGGCTTCACACATTGTACCCAAGTCGGGAAACGAACCCGGGTCTTTTACGGGGAAAAAACTGATGTATAATACTTGAAAAAAACATTTTTCCTAAAATACTGCATCCCCTAGACGTGTACCCATTATGGTTGCGTGCGCAATTTACTCAATAACATACAGTAAGCTATTGAAGGACAGAGTAGCCTCCGCTGATGCCTAAGCGCATATCTACAATCTACATCACTGACTTATATCGCACGTCAGATCATGTTGCAACAATCATTAGTCTATTTGGCGGTGGGGGCACGCCTAAGAGGAAGGCAGAGAGGGATTCAGATGGAGAAAAGAGAGACGTCAAACACAAGTTACTTATCAGATCATGACTTGTCCACGGACATGCTAAACAATGTAATGGACATTATTCGACCAACTTCGATATGTTTCTTGGCATTGGCATCAGGCAATGGTATTTTTTTACCCGTCAATCCCTGTGGACCCGCAAATAAAGTACCTCATAACACTTTGTTGTTGAACACAACATCGGCGATAATCAATGAAGTATACTTTTGTCAACAAACAAAGTCAGTCTTTTATCATCAAACTTTCCTGTTGGCTATTGTTAGCACAAGGAAATAACCTTTTGCTTTGCTTCAAGGTTAAACATATATTTGTAGAGACTTAGCCTCGAACCAAAATAAGATATTTCTCGAGAAAAAAGAGAAACTTGAGACTGAATGACATGCAGATCTAACTACAGTTTCCTCAGAGATGACTTCATTGAAATTGTCAGTCATGAACGCACACTGCACTGAACATGATGTTGAAAGGATTTAAACCAGGTAATTTTTTCATACATTTTCATATTTGTCCAAAGTTGGGACTGACAAAATGTTGGGGGGACTTGTAATTTTTCAGTTGCCAGTCTACCGGTTCCAAAAGCCAGGGGGAACATTGTCATATCCACTCCAATCATGGAGAAGGATGTAAAACAGGGTTAGAAATTGGCACTAGTCCTGTAGTCCTTGCCAAACTGCCCAATAGTTAAGGTATCATAAGGACTAGGAGAAATAGGCCATTTTTAAGTGTTTTGCTATTTGTTATCATTATAAGGACTAGTGGACTAAAAATGTTAGTTTCTAACGCTGTAAAAGAGTATGAATCTCTGAATGATTGAAACTAATTAATTGAATCATGTACGTAAGATGTATCTCATATTTGAAGATAGGAAAAATATAAACAGGCAAAAACCATTGCGATGTGGATCTTTACACCTACAAACCATTATATGAATTTCAACAAGTCAAGCAAATATTGTAGGTCGTCAAAAGCATTTGAAATTATCTTTTATCAAATAACTATTATCGTATGTACAAGTCATAGCACTAGTCTTGAAATTGTATATTAGTGGAAACTGTACTTGATTATTGTTACTTGTGACTCGTACAATGATGCAATTTACGTTACTAGATTCTTTTGGTATATCCTTGCTTATACAATGAGCATTATCAACTACAGTCCGTTTCACTCCAAATGAGAACGATGAATTGCAAAATAACTCAAAATCCAGAAAAGTGTATGAAACATCAATATGGTACTTGACCATGAATACCCTGTACCCAACAAAATCTGAATTTTGTTAAATTTAAGACCCATGACGGATTAAGTTCTTTAAGAAACTATCATGTAATTTTGTATAGAAATGTGTACATGACACGTAGGGGGGACAAACCGTGGAAGGCACAGCGCAAGTACGCATGCACTGGACGTTCTGTGGTAGGGGAAATGACAGCGTTAGAGGGGCCGTCTCATGATAATTTCATTCGCAATCTGACTCGCTCATGCCATAGATCTCGTCGTCGGAACTGCTGGTGCCTGAATCAACTGCCACTATTATAGGTTGGACTGTTGCTGGCCGTAGTCCATTTCGTGACCAATAACGTGGCTCTATCTCGTCAACGGCTGTGGTCACACAACACCTCCATGTTTCTACTGTTACCCGACCAAGGGATTCCTTTACGAGTTGTTCAACGTCTCGTAATTTGAACATTGTGTTCGATCGTCCAACATCACCCTTGACGATGCCCCATACCAACTCGATTGGATTCAGGTCGCAGTGATAAGGTGGCAGTCGTAAGACAGCGTGACCCTGACCCTTGATGTAACTGTCAACTTTATACACGGGGTAAGGTTTCATAGTTTTGATGATTTCATAGAGCTGTGGTTTCGTCGCTCGAGAAGGAAAGGTAATGTTCCTCCGTTGCAGCCAAGTAACCATGTCTCCTTTAGAGGTTGGAGTCTTGCTTTCTGGATCCTGCACACTATGATACGGTGCATTGTCCATGACAATGAGAGACTTGGTAGGCAAAGCAGGGACTAATTTATCTTTCACCCACTCCAGAAATACATTGCCGTTCATTTCTGTGTGGTAGTCCCAATGTTCTTTCGGATCTTACCTCATTTTCCTGACAAAGGCACTCACTGACTCACAAATCTAACAGCAGTGTTACCATGGTTACCCACCCGACTTGCTGACTGGCATCAGACGCTTGACTTCCATGAGTGAAGTCGACATGTCTCTTGAGATGGGCTGCTCTAGTGTAACTTTTGCCACAACCTTCATCGCTGCAGACAAACGGCCTCTGGAAATTGGAATAGTAATTCACTGTTCATTATTCAGAAATAAGAAAAGCAAATTTACCTGCCTAGTGACTATATTATATGATGGCACTGATCCTACATCATGTCTTGGACATACTCATTTGCTAAAGACCTGTGAAGATCCGGGGTAGAATAATCAGCAACCCATGCTTGCCGTAAAAGGCAACTAAATTGATAAGGTGGTCAGGCTCGCTGACTTGGTTGATGCATAACATCGTATCCCAATTGCATGAATCGAAGCTCATGATGTCAGTCACTGCACTGTTTGGCCCAGACTCGATTATTTACAGACTGCTGTCATATAGCTGGAGTATTGCTGAGTGCGGCATTTAACAACAAACATTTGCTAAAATTTCAGCAAAATCCTATATGAGAACAACTTGAGAATAAATAGGCCAGTGATTGTGCCTCAGACAAATGTCAATAAGACATTCTCTTGACATGTCTGACACGTGTTTGATAGGATATTCCTACTATATTAAAACTAACTTTGCAAAAAAAATTAAAGGACTGAATGACAATAAGGCAATGCCTTATACCCAATCTGAAACCCCGGTGGACTAATTTACATTGTTTGACCCTTGCAACACCAAACGGTATGGCCAATCGAAACATTCATTCTGGTAAGAAAGTTCAGAGTATGAATGGTTCAGACTTTTGGCAGCAGAACCCTGTCCATCTAAAATAGCAATCCTCATCTGAAGGCTTCATTAAAGTGCATGATATATGACATCTTTAATATTCCTGGTTATTTAAGCGTGTCACATGTCACCCGTCCTTGACTTGAATCTTGAAAGACCCTGGTACATACCTGTTTACATGGAATACGATGTGTCAATCACCATGGTAACAGTCAAGTCATATCCCCGCTGCCTATCAGTAACAGACTCTGGGCCATGCAAACCTTGCCATTCCCTTGGGTAAGATCACAAACAATCATCACAGTCAAAGAGCATTATTTGTTTTGTTTGTTGTTTAACTCCGCACTCAGCAATATTAAAGCTACATGACAGCGGTCTGTAAATAATTGAGTCCGGACCAGACAATCCAGTGATTGACATCATGTGCATCAAACCACTCAATTGGGATACGATGACATGCATCAAACAAGTCAGCGAGCCTGACCACCCGATCACCTCTTACGACAAGCATTGGTTGCTGATGACCAATTCTACACCGGATCTTCACGGGTCCTTAGAGTACGACTATGACAACTCAATAGTCATCTTGTAAGATCAGTCATGGGTACCTGTAGTTATCACGGTTTTAAAAGTGTAATTGAGTGAGCGTGCTCTTACACTGCTCTTACCAATATTCCAAATAACAATTCCCGTCCCAATTCCCATGTGATCGTGAAGTTTGCGACCTCAGGCACTGACAGGAAGTCTGAAGCCTGTGTCTGTTAAGCTGAATAGGGTTAATCCACAAGTCCATCACCACATAAGTACGATGAATTTAGTGTTAAACAGTCTCCAAGAACGTAAGCTTTGCTGACTATCCATAGCAGACCAAATTTATTAACTTTTGAAAATGTTAGGCTTGATTCAGAACGGCGACCGAAACTGTCACACGTTACGACACCGGAAGCAGTGTGAAACAGAATGTCATTTGATTGAACAGATACAAGTAGTTACCTCTCCGGTATGTGAACGTAAATGTATCAACAACCTGCTCTTCTTGTGGAAGAACTTCCCACAGGTCTCGTGAGAACAAACAAACAAATTTCCCCTACACGTGCTCGTGTCCGCCATTTGCTTCGGCTATACTTCAAACTTGAGATCTGAATGTATTTGGATCCAGAACATAGTAACTGACATTCTTAGTTCACTATTTTCTCATTCGGAATTAAGAACTTCAACAAGCTTGAAATTACATAGAGAAAATAACGTAAAGAAGTCCGTGAAAAGTCCACGCATGTTCAAACGCATGACTTGACTCCATTGATAAATACGTTTTCTTGGTCTAGTAAGGTTCCTTTTAGAGTTGCCCGAGACGAAGCTACATTTACCGTATTCGACGCAATAAGCGCATAGAACGCTCTCAAAATTAGCAATAGGGGGCTCTTATTAGAAAAAAATATTAGAGGAAAAAAAACTGAGTTGAAAGATCGCATTTTTCGTGGTTTATGCTGACAACCTGGAATATAAAAAAAAGAAGAAAAGTCTGTGTGTAGCTATTTATACACAACAGATATATTTTCCAGAATTTAATTGTCCATAATTAAGGTTGCACATAACACACGAGTGCGTATTATACACGAATAATTAAGTCTTGTGTACATTGGAATTGGAAGGGGTGCTAATTGAGATTGTTCACTAGCCAATATATTAGCAAATATCGCCGTGGGCGCTTATCAGAGTGAAGCGCTTATTACGTCGAATACGGTATGCTATCTTGAGATAAGTCATCACTATTTGACTGTTATAGTTTAGTTTCCGAGATTTACCGACCGGTGGGTAAACATGCTATCTCACTCAGGTCACACTAAGAAACACGTGTTTGTTACAGAGTGAATACACTGGGAAATGTAACACAACAGCGTTTCGCTAAGTGAGTGAGTATGGTTTTACGCCGCTTTTTGCTCTATTCCAGTAATATCACGGCGGACAACACTAGAAATGAACTTCACACTTTGTTCCCATGCACGTGGAGAATCCAACTCAGGCTTTCTGTGTGATGACGACCGCTTTAACCACTGGTCGACCCCCAACACCCCTGTTTGACTAAAAAAATGGCAAACAACATTCCAAGGAAGCTCAAGAAGAGCTTGGATGTCACAACTATGTCTCGTCATCGCTAACCTGGACATAACTAAGATTGACAAACGTGAAGTAGACTAGATAGGCTAAACCCCACTTCATTGTGTGTGTCAACCAGCCTATAGTTAAAGTACATAGTGATTGTGTGCCATATGGTATCTAGCCTTGGTATCATGCACTGGTTGATTGTGTGTCATGGTGCCCTGGGTTTGGTGGCTATCTGGTTGTCATGGTTCCCTGGGTTTGGTGGCTATCTGGTTGTCATGGTACCCTGGGTTTGGTGACTATCTGGTTGTCATGGTACCCTGGGTTTGGTGGCTATCTGGTTGTCTTGGTACCCTGGGTTTGGTGAATATCTGGTTGTCTTGGTTCCCTGGGTTTGGTGAATATCTGGTTGTCTTGGTTCCCTGGGTTTGGTGAATATCTGGTTGTCTTGGTTCCCTGGGTTTGGTGGCTATCTGGTTGTCTTGGTTCCCTGGGTTTGGTGACTATCTGGTTGTCATGGTACCCTGGGTTTGGTGACTATCTGGTTGTCATGGTACCCTGGGTTTGGTGACTATCTGGTTGTCATGGTACCCTGGGTTTGGTGGCTATCTGGTTGTCTTGGTACCCTGGGTTTGGTGAATATCTGGTTGTCTTGGTTCCCTGGGTTTGGTGAATATCTGGTTGTCTTGGTTCCCTGGGTTTGGTGAATATCTGGTTGTCTTGGTTCCCTGGGTTTGGTGGCTATCTGGTTGTCTTGGTTCCCTGGGTTTGGTGACTATCTGGTTGTCATGGTACCCTGGGTTTGGTGACTATCTGGTTGTCATGGTACCCTGGGTTTGGTGACTATCTGGTTGTCATGGTACCTTGGGTTTGGTAACTATCTGGTTGTCATGGTACCCTGGGTTTGGTGACTAGCTGGTTGTCATGGTACCCTGGGTTTTGGTGACTATCTGGTTGAGCGTGTCACGGTTCCCTGGGTTTGGTGACTAGCTGGTTGTCATGGTACCCTGGGTTTGGTGTTATCTGGTTGAGTGTGTCTTGGTTCCCTGGGTTTGGTGACTATCTGGTTGTCATGGCACCCTGGCTTTGGTGTTATCTGGTTGAGTGTGTCTTGGTTCCCTGGGTTTGGTGACTATCTGGTTGTCATGGTACCCTGGGTTTGGTTACTATCTGGTTGTCATGGTACCCTGGGTTTGGTGACTATCTGGTTGAGTGTTTCATGGTACCCTGGGTTTGGTGACTATCTGGTTGTCATGGTACCCTGGTTTTTGTGATTATCTGGTTGTCATGGTGCCCAGGGTTTGGTGACTATCTGGTTGTCATGATTTCCAGCCTGTTTCTAAAAAACGTACTGCATTACCACTCTTCACAATTAAAGCGCATTTTCAATATATATTTTGTTTTTCAAAAATCTCATTCAAATCTGATATTAGTTCTCGCTACCGCTAAATGAGGACATCCAATTACAAGTCACGTCAGAACAAGAAGTCGACATGAGTGAATCAGAAGCAGTTTTCTCGACGTTTGCAGCACAAGTTTCAAATTGACGGATTCCATCCCAGAATACGCTTTGCAAAATTGTTTTGACAAAGTTCTCGAAACAAAAGAACACTCTGGAATGTCATATAGATAGCCTAATTTGTATGGCAGTACTGCCCACGGACATTGCAGAGTCTGTTCCGTTCAAACGTTTATCCCAGAGACGCGAGAGATATATACTATGCTTTTGACGGATTCTGTCGTAATAGTCCATAACAGTCGCTCGGAATACTCCGTGTTACCCTTTGTGAGGTTGCATGATTAGAAAACACATTCTGACTGTCTCATTTCTGATCTGGTAAGCGACGCTCTGATGTATTTATGCAGACTATTTGAATGTCAATGTTGTACGTTTTGTACTGTTGACTCCATATCCAGGTGAGCTATTGTGTAGTGGCACTATCTTGTACTTTTTCCTAATATTTTAAATTATATGAAACTGAAATCAACACTTCCAAATCCGAATATTTAAATATTTTTCGCTGTTGTATTTATTTAGAGAAACGTTAACCGCCGAACAGACAACAAAGAATAAGCTCCTCCCCCCTCACTCACTCACTCAGCAAATAGCTTGTCTTTGAACAACCAGCCACAGTTGTGAACTGGATTACTGCGACATCGACTAATAAAGACGTACGTGTTAGTGATTTGTCTCAAAACGCATTTCATTTAAGCATTCACGCTAACTCAAGATGGGGACGAGTTATTTGCAATACAGGAATTTAATTTTACGCCGCTTCTTACAGTATATCCGTGAGTGAGTGGGTGAGTGAGTGAGTTAGATTAAACGCCGCTTTTAACAGTATTCCAGTTATATCGCGGCGTGTCAGCTTAATGTGGGAGGAAAGCCCGAAGTGATGCAGGTCTCAGACGTTTACCACTTCGGCGAAACCCACGAGCACGGGTATGGTACTGCCAAACCTAGAAACATAATCAGGGCGAACCCGATCGGGATTCGAACCCACAATCATAGATTTCTGGCGTGCCCAAGGGACGCAACTCTGCACTGCGAATCGCGGCGCCTTAGACGACTGGGCCACCCGTGCCCCGAGTATATCCGTGATCTCACGGCGTTTCACGGAGTCAGGTTCATGCGGAGGGAAGCATGTTATGAGGTATGTAACACATGTGTTCCACTTCGGTGAAATGCGCGGACATATTGCTCACAAAGTAAGACCCATATGCACCATGCGAATGACGGATTCGAACCCATGGTCACCGGATTCAGACACGAGTAATCCCTCCATAACTACCGAGAACACACAATTTACATTTCCACAGCAACATACTTACATGTTATACAACAGCATGCAGTGTTTTTGCACTAAACTGTCGCGACTATGTCACGTGATACGTAGTTCGTGTTTATATCCGCAGATCACGACATACACGCATTATCTATTGATCTTTAGTCGCCCCAGTCACACGTTCCACTGATTAGGCGATGGGAAATTATGTACACTGTATTGTTGAACACAGGCGTGATTGGTGACACAGTTTCTGTTCCACCGTGACTCGGCCTGTTTGTGGTTAAATTAAGCTTCAGGTATATCAATGATCTGATAGCGTTCAATAATGGTCACATAGCAAATCCCCTTTCACAGATTTACCCACCTGCACAAGAAAGAAAGGAGTAGTGAAACGGACTCATTTGCTTAATATTTAGATCTATACGTGTATCACACGTTCCCGTGTCTCTTCAGGTGAACAATTTACCTGCCTTTGCATGTGTTTGTGATGGTGTCACCGGTGGTGCACAATTAAGATCTTTTTATTGTCGTGGTTGTGTGTGTGTGTTGGGGGGGGGGGGGGGGGGGGGGGGGAGGTTATACCATCCGGAAGTTACATCTGTGGGGTACCCGTGATGTAGGCCTAAGTAACCCATGCTTGCCGCGTGCTAGGCCCATGCTAGGCCTCTAACGGGATCGGATGGTCAGGCTCGCTGACATAATTGATGCATGTCATTGTATCCCAATTGTGTAGATCGATGCTCATGATGTCAGTTACTGGATTGTCTGGCCCAGACTCGATTATTTACAGACCGCCGTCATATAGCTGGAATATTACTGAGTGTGGCGTTATACATCAAACAAACAACGCCCACTCACTCTCTCACTCACTCATGCACTACTCACACTTGACTCACTAACTCACTCACATTTTACTCACACTTCAGTTTCTTACTCACTCTTCATTCGTTTGGTGTTGTGTAAAACGGTGATTCTGTAAAAGGATTTTTTTATCAGATCATCGCGACAGCACATGCAGGCATATTTATAAACATTCTGATCATGTGACCGGAGCGCTTGATTATCTTTAACACGCTTCCCATGTGACTTTCCCGACATCCCGCTCTAGGTGATAACAACTGTTATCACCACATGACGTAAACATCATTAGTTGCACCCTGTGGACGTACGAAAACATTCTTTGTCAAAAGGTAGGACTATTTTATGTATTTAATTGTAGTTG